CGGCTTTCGAATGCAAACATAACAAACGGGATAAGTTTCTGCAATATGCTATAAAGTTGAAAGCGCAATAAATACAATCTACACGGAGAGAAAGTCCTGTTCTTCCCGCTTCAAGGATAACAAAATCCTACACCTTGAGCAACTTAACTTTTTTCAATGCAAGAAAATGTTTCTAGTTTGGATTTAGCCCCAGTTAAACGTGAAAACTGTTTGCCAACTCGGGCACAGGACGAAGAATGGCTAGAAAGGACAACGACTGCTGACTACCGACTGCAATTTGCTGAAAGTTGTGCCGACTGAGAAACTGAAAGAACGTAGCCAGCCAGGAACCCAGTCCAGGACGCTGCTTGTCGGCCATTCCTTTTCCGGTTGTGCTTGGAAACTTTTGCTATTGTCGTAGGTCCTCGAAGCGAATGAGAACGAGAACAAGTCAAAGGACCTACGGCCAACCAGCCGTCTGGCTAGTCGGCCACTTGCCCGGCGGCCTAGCCAAAGGAACCTGCTAGGACACACACGCCATATGCGCAGAAGGACAACAATTGAATTACAAAATTATTTTCTGCTGCTGTCGTCGTCGTCGTAGTCCTTTCTGTCGTTGTCCTCCGACTGACAGAACTAGTTGTAGGTAGGACAGGACAGGCTGGATGTCTTGGTGGCTTGCTTGCTGGCTGGCTGGCTGGCTGGAAAGGGGGGGGACGGAAAGGAATCGAGGCCCTTAAGTGGCTCTTGGCCGGGGCAAAGGACATGTTTTCTAAAACGGAAATTAGGTGACAGGACGAGGCGAACAAGCAAGCCTCGAGCGGGCTTCAGGTTCTTGTCGACATCGTCTTGGGTCAACTTTAATTGCCGCTTTGAACGTGAGTACACTTGAAATAATTTTCAACACAAAAGGAGGAATTATAATAATTATATAATTACCAAACTGATGTAAGGTTTGTGAAGTATATTGATTGATTGGTCGTTAAAATTACTTAAAAGGGTCGAAAATGACGTAGTAAATTAAAAAAAAAATGTATTTGGCTTCGCGATAACACTTGCATGGAAGCGGATAGGTGGGACACTCTAGAAAATCCAGAGAGCACAACCGAAGCCACATCATACTTCTTGTATCTGTATCTGTGTATCTACGAGTGGGCCGCTTTTTTGTATCTCTCAGACTGTCTGGCTGAGGGAACGTGCGAGAGTCGCGTGTGCAATGCTGCAAAAATGTTCAAATTCGTTGCTTTTCGCTTTTTTACTTTTATACTTTTTGTACTTTTTGTATTTATACTTTTAGGTTTGGGTTATCGTCTGGCAACGGCAATCATAATATGGAATGGGTATGGGGGGCTAGGTACTGGGGAGCTCGTGAAGGGATGAGACCCGGGCCAGACCAAGCACACAAAACAAAATGATGCAGAAAGCGCAGAAAGAGAGGTGCGGCGTGGTCGAGGATGACGAAAACTGAAACGAGCCAAACGCACGAAGACATTGTCGATGTTGCCAATGCACTAAAAAAAAAACCTATAGCTAGGGTTAAAGGTCGAATTAATAAGGTCGAGATTTTAAAATATTGTATCTAAGCTTCATATTATCTTTTGAATAATAAATAATTTTGTTTAAATCAAATTTACAACATTTGTTCTCAGTGTAGTGGTGCTGCTGCGATTGCACGAGGATGAGGAGGTTTGGCAGGCTGTAGGGCAAAGGGGCAAGGCATGGCATGGCAGGGCAGGCAAACAGCCAGGCAGCGACGTCGACGACTTTGTGGATTTTGATTCTGGGTCATTCACCCTTGACAAAAAACATTTTTGCGCTGTGTTAGGCCGCTTTTGTATGCGGCGTAGCTTTGCTTTGTTGCGGCTGCTGCTGCTTGTGCTTCTGCTGCCACTGGTGTGATTGCTGACGTACAGGCATCCGCATTTGGACTCCACACTCCACTTGATTTCGCTCATCTTTCGCTCTGCCCCGGGAGCCCAGCCCCAAATGCACTCCTCCAAAGATCCAATGATCGACCAAGTACACCCGCCTGCTTTGCATATGTACATATGCCCAAAAACCGTGTACTACCGTGTCCGTCCGCTGCTGCTCTTGTCATTGTCCGGCATTGTCTGCCCGCGCTTTTGTTTTATTTTTTCTGTTTGATTTTGTTTAAATTGTTGTCGGTCGTCTGGCATCCTAAGATTGGTTCCTTTCTTATTATACCCTTGCAGAGGGTATTATAATTTTGTCCAAAAGTGTGCAACGCAGTGAAGGAGACATCTCCGACCCTATAAAGTATATATATTCTTGATCAGGATCACCTCCTGAGTTGATATGAGCATGTCCGTCTGTCCGTCTGTCCGTCTGTCTGTTTCTACGCAAACTAGTCTCTCAGTTTTAAAGCTATCGTCTTAAAACTTTGCACACACCCTTCTTTCCTTTGCACGCAGTATATAAGTCGGAACGGCCGGGATCGGCCGACTATATCCTATAGCTGCCATATAACTGATTGATCGGAAATGGTATAACTTTGGTGTTTTTAGAGTTAGAGAGTTCAAATTTGACATGAGAGCTATTTTTGGCAAAATAATACGACATGCCAAATTTCATAAGGATCGGCCGACTATATCTTATAGCTGCCATATAACTGAACGATCGGAAATGACCCAACTTTCGTGTTTTTGAAGATAGAAAGCTGGAACTTGGTACAGATTATATTTTTGGTCAGTTAATCCGACCTACAAAATTTCATTAGGATCGGCCGACTATATCCTATAGCTGCCATATAACTGAACGATCGGAAATGACCCAACTTTCGTGTTTTTGAAGATAGAAAGCTGGCACTTGGTACACATTCTATTTTTGGTCAGTCAATCCGATCTACCAAATTTCATAACGATCGGTTGACTATATCTTATAGCTGACATATAACTGAACGATCGGAAATGGTATTTGGTAGAAATATCAACTTTCGAATTTTTGAAGATAGAAGCTTGGGACTTTTTTTTAGATTCTTTATTGTAATTAATTGGTTTTATTATGATGTAATCATAAGGATCGGCCAACTATATCCGATGTTTGCGATATATATCCGGTTATAGCTGCAAGGGTATATAAACTTCGGCTCCGCCCGAAGTTAGCTTTGCTTTCTTGTTTTTATTTTATTATATTTTGTTTTTATCGCGCTGTGCTTTTTGCTTTTCGGTTTTCGGTTTTTTGAACTCTCGCCTTGATTTAGAAGGCGAAAAATAAGAAATGGCATCCATTTTGTCTTGGAGCATGATAAATATTATCAGAAATGATTCACGTTGAGTATTTTTATTCGTTTTGGGGCAGCCTAATTAAAGATTTGAAAAAGCAAACAACAATTTGTGGCACTGCCACTGCTAACCATTGAAAGCAATCTATTTTGGCAGAGAGTATTTTCGTAATTTTCCATCGAGTGCGCCAAACTTTCGAATTGCAGACTTGTTCAATCCCGAGTTGCGAAACTTTTAATGCCCTGGCACATGGCCGAATTAAAACGTTATCTGCCATGCAACGTTGCCAAATCTCCTGGCTCCACCATGCAACATCCAATAATCCAACCCCTGCCTCCCTCTGGGGGGACAAGTCTATTGCCATGGCCATTTAGGACAGCAACAACACCAACAAAATGCACAACAACCCGAAAATTTACACAACAATCAATTACAGTAGCCGGGCTAACGAAAACAAAACAAAACACAGGAGAGACGCCAAAAAGAGGCCAGAACAAACAAATAACTGCACAAAATGTTGCAGTGGCTGTGGCAGGGCCAGTGCCAGTGCCAGTAAAGCGATTCCCACGTGCAAAATAAAACAGTGCGAGAGGCGCGTAGATTTATCTGCATTCTGAGCCACACACACAGATACAAATTCGCAGATACAGATACAGGTACTTTTGCACACACACACTCGCTTGGAATGTACGGAAATGTCAGTCGACAAACTGGAAATTATGTTTGTGCCGAAATTTTAGTTTGTCGGCCAAGAGGATCCAACAATAATATAACTGGCAAAAAACGGACACAAGTACCCTCCTTTTATCCGCTCCCCGCTCCTTCCCAGACACCAGGAAACAAAGGCAAAACAAAAACGACAGGTGTAATAAATAACCCAACCGAAATGGCCAGGACGCGGACGCTGCAATGTAATGGAAAGTGGTGCCAGTGGTGGATGGGGGCGAGGGCTTGGGTTACGGCTGGCTCTCGTCCACTAATTCGTGTCATTTAGCGCAGGTGGCGACAGAGGAAGAGGCAGGACGAGGAAGGACACCGGGGCACCGTTCGAAGGGGGGCGACCACAACAGATTGACGCTGGCCGATAGCGCCAGGAAATGGTCTGGCTCCAGGGACGAGGCCCCCAAGCTTCGCAAAGGACCACAGCCGCAAAGTTGCCAAAATAGGTGCTCTGGGTGCTGACCCGAATCCGGATTAATTCAATCCCCATCGCAGGAGGGGGACACTTCAATAATACAGGACTCCTCAAAAGGGATGAAAGTGCAGTGGCAGTCTTCGGAGGAGGTGAATAGTAGGTAAACAGGTTTCAGTAAGAAAACACAATTTTGATATTCTCTACTACTACACTACTAAAAGCTTTTAAAATTTCAATTATTTAATAGATTTGAACTTAAGACCCCCTTGTTACGTTTTAAAATAAGCCAGTGGGCCTATTCAATAGAGTTCGAAGCAACCTGAATTTCTATAATAAATTCATGAGCCATGTGGGAAGCTTTTGTCCCTCCAGGATGGACAATAACCTCATGGGTGTAATGGGACAGTTTTAGGGTCACGGTGGCCAATAGCCTTTTTATGAATATAATAAACTCTGGCCAAGCTGTTACCCCAATGATTGAGCTGTAATTTATGAGGAAGAGTACAGATATATCCTCTTAAATAAAACCAAACGAAAAACTTCAAACCTTGTTTTACCGCGCATTCAATACCAGTTCCATAACTAGTTCGATTAATTAATCGAACCAGCACACTAGTAAACACTAGCGGCGGGGGCGTTGTGCAACACTGTTTGTTTTGAGGGCGTAGTTCCAACAAGTGCTGAGCATCATAGATTTTTATTAGTAATCGTAGCTTGGCGAGGCCCGCCCTAGAATCTCATTTAAACTTAGTTATTACTTTAATTTAAAGTATTTGCGTTATTTATTAAAAAAAAAAACCCGAGAAGTGGCGTTGCCCTACGCCCGAAGACAACAACTGAAAAATGTTCCCCTCGACGATTTTGGGGCGCAGCTACCTGCTTTTTATGCTGGTGCTCGCCGTGGGCGTGTTCGCCCAGCACGAGTGGCAGGCCCGGGACGCCTTTGACGAGATCAAGCGCCAGTTCGATAAGGTCAACGCGGATAACTGCCCCATCCAACACCACTCAGATCTGTTCCTGCCCACGGATTCCATTTCCCACAAGCCCGACATCAAGGAGGTGAACGTAAATCCGGTCTTCCCAAATCGTACAGCGTTGCTGCATCTCCAGAACATGGCGCTCAGCAGAAGCTTCTTTTGGAGCTACATTCTTCAGTCGCGATTCATCCGGCCCGCCATCAATGACACCTACGACCCCGGAATGATGTACTACTTCTTGTCCACGGTGGCCGATGTCTCAGCCAATCCCTCCATCAACGCCTCGGCTATCTACTTCTCCCCCAATAGCTCGTATTCTTCCTCGTACCGTGGCTTCTTTAACAAGACCTTCCCCCGTTTCGGGCCTCGAACCTTCAGGCTAGACGACTTCAACGATCCCATTCACCTGCAAAAGATATCCACGTGGAACACGTTCGATGTTCAAGATCTTGGAGCCCACCACCCTGACTCTATTTCCAAGGATTACACGCATGACTTGTACAAAATAAACGAGTGGTATCGCGCCTGGCTGCCAGACAATGTCGAAGGGCGGCACGACACAAAGATCACATATCAGGTGGAAATTCGCTACGCCAACAATACAAATGAAACGTATACATTCCACGGCCCGCCGGGTGCCGAAGAGAACCCGGGTCCCATTAAGTTTACAAGGCCGTACTTCGATTGTGGCAGATCCAACAAGTGGTTGGTGTCGGCTGTGGTGCCCATAGCAGATATCTACCCGCGACACACCCAGTTCCGGCACATTGAATATCCCAAGTAAGTTCCCTAACTGCTGCCATTTTTCAAAACTAATGCGAAATCTTTTACAGATACACAGCAGTTGCCGTGCTTGAGATGGACTTTGAACGTATAGACATCAACCAGTGTCCTTTGGGACAGGGTAACAAGGGGCCAAATCACTTTGCGGACACGGCGCGCTGCAAAAAAGAGACCACAGAGTGTGAACCCCTACATGGATGGGGCTTCAGGCGAGGAGGCTACCAATGTCGCTGTAAGCCCGGCTTCCGCTTGCCTCCCGTGGTGCGGCGACCCTATCTTGGCGAGATCGTAGAGCGCGCCTCAGCAGAGCAGTACTACAACGAGTACGACTGCCTCAAGATTGGCTGTAGGTTTATTGAACTAACACTAGCCGATTAGATTGTTATAGATCTCTATTACAGGGATCCAAAAGCTGCCGGTTCAGTGGGAGAAGGCACCGTATCACATTCGCCAGAAGTACCTCGATAGGCACCCTGAATACAAGAACTACACCACTGGATCTCGAGCTCTGCACTCTGAGCGGTTGAATATCGATCAGGCTTTGAAGTTTATACACAGCGTCAACTACCGTACATGCAAGAAGTGAGCTGGAATTTGAATGTCAATTTGAAGTTGATATGTTTACTAATATTGTCATCGCCTCCCGACAGCTTCCATCCGCAGGATCTGATTCTGCGCGGCGATGTCGGTTACGGCGCTAAGGAGCAGTTCGAGAACGAAGCCAAGATGGCCGTGCGTCTGGCCAACTTTATTAGCGCCTTTTTGCAGGTAAGCAAGCTAGGGAGCGATACAGATTCAGATACAGATTCCGTTCCCATCGCCACGCTAAATGAAGAGCAATAATTGATAACCCGACACCTATTAAGAGCCTTCGACGACGGCTCTTGAAAACTTCTCAAGTGTAAATTATAATTTTCCACGCGTAATTCAACTTCCTCGAATTTCCTGCAATGCCAGTTTCGGTTTTTGCTGCTTGGCTGTTGCTCCTTCTGCTCCTGCCGTTGCTCCCAATGCTGCTGTGAATTAAATATTCAGTGTCAAACCATTACCAAATGCTAAATTCATTAGTTTGAGCGCTGTGGACATGAAAAACGGGTTCGCCACAAGGCGTCGTCTTTATTAAAGGCCAGCCGCAACAGCAGCAGCATCAGAAATGGGGATGAGAGTCTCCTTTTGGCTCGCTGGCTGGCTGTGTCCATATTTGCACAAGTTGTTAGCATTCAACAGACAAAGACCCTTCAGCGGGGGAAATCTTGCCCATATGGCTCCCCAAAACTAAATAACGTTTTTCTGCTTGGTTGCAGGTATCGGATCCCAACGAGGTCTACTCCGGCAAGCGGGTGGCCGACAAACCCCTGACCGAGGACCAAATGATCGGCGAAACTCTGGCCATACTCATGGGCGACAGCAAGGTGTGGTCGGCCTCGACGCTTTGGGAGCGCAACAAGTTTACAAACCGCACCTACTTCGGACCCTACGCCTACAAAACGGATCTGAACACCCGAAAGTTCAAGGTGGAGGATCTGGCGCGCATCAACAAGACCCACGAGCTGTATACCGAGAAGAAGTACTTTAAGTTCCTCAAGCAGCGCTGGAACACCAACTTTGACGACCTGGAAACGTTCTACATGAAGATCAAGCTCCGCCACAACGAGACAGGTGAATACCAGCAGAAGTACGAGCACTACCCCAACTTCTACAGAGCGGCCAACATCAAGCACGGCTTCTGGACACAACCGCAGTTCGACTGTGATGGCTACGTGAAAAAGTGGCTGGTGACCTATGCGGTGCCCTTCTTTGGCTGGGACAGCCTCAAAGTCAAGCTGGAATTCAAGTGAGTGCCACAATAAATGGGATGAGAATAGGGGTTGGGTTGATATACTTGTTGGGCCGGTCCGCTGCGTGCCGCCGTCGCGGGCCGCTCGAACCCCTTTTTCGGGAGCAGTCCTACTTCCATTCCCTGTCCCCAGACCAGTCCCACTTCCAAGCCTATTCACATGCAAATGTCCCGATTTAATTGTCTAATTTTCGAGTGTTGACAACTCGTCCCGACTTATGACTTGTGACTCCTAACACCCATTGTGATGCAAATGGTAGCAATTAAACTGACTAATTTGTTTGCCCTACGCAGGGGAGTGGTAGCCGTCTCCATGGACATGTTGCAGTTGGACATTAATCAGTGCCCGGACTGGTACTACGAGCCGAATGCGTTCAAGGATACGCACAAGTGCGACGAGCAGTCTTCATACGTGAGTATCACATCGAATTCTAACTGAAAAGATCATCAAAAGATACAATATTTTTTAGTGCGTTCCCATTATGGGCCGAGGCTATGAAACCGGAGGCTACAAGTGCGAGTGCCTGCAGGGCTATGAGTATCCGTTCGAGGATCTGATCACCTACTACGATGGCCAGCTGGTGGAGGCCGAATACCAGAACATTGTGGCCGATAAGGAGACGCGCTACGATATGTTCAAGTGCCGCTTGGCCGGCGCTTCCGGCCTGCAATCCGCTTTGGGACTTGTGGTCTCACTGTTCGGCCTCACGCTCACCCTGCTGTACAGATTTAGTTAAGCAACCGCACGCCAAATAACTAACGACAACTTCCGTCCAAACGAAACTCACATCAAATCTCTCCACAAAGGACATAACTACAAAGCAACACAGACACAAAATTGACACCCAAAAACAAAACGAGCTGCCAAGCCCGCCCAGCTCTCCTTCGTCCGTTCCCTTTGAACATTGTCATCATTTATCTGCAAGGCGATTAAGTTGTAGACATAATCTATTACAATGAATCTGGTTATTTGTCATTTCTATCAAAAGCGGCAGGAGCAGGAGCAGCAGCCAGAGCTGAAGCAGAAGCAGAAAAAACGACATCGACGGCAGAAAAGCGCAAACAGCCGCGCCTACTGCTCTCAGATTACGGAAACGCAAACGAAAACGGAGTTGCCGTTTTTTGCTCCTTCAGAGCTCAGAGATCCTCTCTAATGTCCGTGAAGTCGCACAGCTGTGTGCATGTGTGTAAGTGCCGATCGCAAACCTGTTAACATCGGAACCCAGTAGGCCCCGTACCTACACCCATCGGCGAGGTCCAGGTCCAACCTGGGGGTTGTTTCTTCAGCTATACGCACACCTTTTTTTCCATTCCTTCCAACGGATGGCACAAAAAATCCAACGCCTGCCGTGCTGTTTTTCTTATATTAAATCGTCGATGGTCCGTTTTTTGTGCTGCCTGAATTAAATATATATGCTGCCGAGATGCTGCTGCCGCGGTGGCGTTTTTTCCGCTTTTTGTTTTTTGCTCCTTGATTATCATATGCGCTTGAATTTTTATTATCTGTACCCTGAGAACTTTTTCTATGCGCCGCCGGAACCAGTTTAACAGCCACTTGGTCTCCTACCAGGCCAAAAAAATAGCCAGCGCTTTTTCATTAAAAAAAAAAACTTTATAGCCATAGGTAGCTGGACAGGGGCACAAAAAATCTTTTTCACACATTTTTCATAGTCATTTCAGGGCATCAGGAGCTCACCGGTGGGCAGTAACTTTCGTAGCATACGGGCAACTCCTCCATTTCCCTTTCCAAGGATCCAAAAAAGGACCTTTCCTCCATCCGTCTGCCCGAACACGTTCGAGTGGCTGGCCGTGTCCGGTTTTGGTTGTGTTTCTGGGTGTCGCTTGAGGTGTCGCATTTACATTCCGCAACCAATTTGTAGATCAGTACAAAACTTAAGCAATCTAAAGTGTAAATTGTGCCTTACAACTGGACTCTGTTTATGCTCGAATATTTGTAATACCATAGACTACGACCATATCATACATCCGTCCAATGAAGCAGTCTACTCTTTGTATTATGTACCTTAATATTAAGTGCCTTGCGAGCAGTCACAGAAATTTTACATTCTTTTTTAGCATAATGTATAGAATTTTAAGTGCCTTACAACAACCCAACAAAAGAATATTATATACAACCCCACAAGACAATGTCGTTTAAATACATGTATGATTTTGTAGTAAAAGAGAGCAGGACTTACCAAATTTATTCATTTTGCATTCGCTTGTCCCCAACGCTTGTCCCGAAATTTAGTGGCGCTTCGGATTTCGACGGCTGGCAAGATAGAAATTTATCTTCACGTTTTACAATTTTAAACGTATTACGCGATGTCAAGATGCACCAATCAAAGTTCAAAATCCAGAATGGGAATTTTTCAGATTAGAAAAGTGCGAAAGGAATCACAATCGTATCGTATTTTTTCGGGAACAAAAGCAAACAAAAAAAAAAAAGATCGCGGAACACCAAAAATAAATTCACGCCGCCCTTCGAATCGCTGAGCGAATTTCGAGGACGATCTCCTCCGTTTTCTTTATCTTATATATTTTCGCGATCACTCGACTGCACTGGCTCGATTTTAAAAATGGGTTCGCGCACTCTCGACCTGGATACAATCGGCTATACAATCCACGAAATATCAAGAATAATTTCTAATTTGGACTTTGGTTTATTTTTTGATCCTTTTAGAATTTTAACAAATTTTTGGAAGGGGGAATTAATTTGAATGGCTGATGTTTTATGACTGAATAAATTTTCGCTTGCCGTAGCCTCTTTCCTATGACAGGTGGTCCCTAGCCTGCTATCCCTTAAAATAATAAAGACCAAGGTTTTTTTTTTTCATTAACTATTTATTTCGTGTTCGGTTCGTGTGTTCTAAATACATCCCAGCTATACCATTTGCCTCACTTCCGGGGCGGGTAGGTAAAAGTACAAGTATCTATGTAGTGTATGCAGTTGGTTATCAAACATTTTTAAAAACTATCACAAATCAATTATTGGATGTGGCTACACAACTTAGTATATATGCATTATATAACAGGCGACAGCTCTCTGGTCTGAGTGCTCCAAAGGAGGGGACTCCAGGGATCCCAGGATTGAATCGAACGATCTCGAGCGGTCACGTTAATACAACAGTATCCTCGTTGACTGGATTCGATTTTTAACAACTTTTCGAATTACAAATTACAAACGACACATAAACATTTAAAAAATACTAATACTTTGTTTTTTTTCTTTTAACCGGTTCATACATTCAGTTCACGTCCAAATAAAAAACTTTAACAAAATTCCAATCCGCAGTTTATGTTTTAGTTTGGAAATGAAAAACCATTTGGATCTAGTGACTAGATGAGCTTACAATTTAATGGGTTCCTTAGCCGGGTGAACGTCCTTAATATTCCCTTTTGTTTTTTTTTGGTGATTTCTAACAGCTATTTGCCTTAAATAACTTGGATTTCCATGTTCGTTATTGTTTCCTTCTTAAGGTGTGCCATTGAAGTGAATCCACTTTAAAATATTCGACTATTTTTTTTCCGTTACAAGTAGTGTATGTATATAATTGCTAAAAACAATTGGCTTCGATTCCTTATACAATTTCGTAATAATTATGAGTATTTAAATTATAACCGTATATAGTTAACTTTCGGGGCACTTTTGAGCTCGGTTTTCGCGGGCTCGTTACTTGGGTTTCTTGAAACTCTCTTCGAATAGAGACTGAGACTGAAGGCGAGGCATGGGCGTGGGCATGAGATCCTGTATTCTGTATCTGAGGGAGTCTCTAGCATGACTCCCGTGCAGGTGTATCTGTATCTGTAGCTGTGGTATCTGAATCGGTTTCGGTATCTGTAACTGTAGCATTAAAATGTGTTATATTTGAGCAAAATTGTAACTGCATGTGTTCCGATTGAACTTTTACATCAACAACAACAACGACGACGACAATAATTATGATATAATGAGACACACACTCCATCTAACTATACTCGAACTGGACATGGAACTGTCCCGCCTATAGGATGACTTAAAACTGCATGATTGTACGAGTATCGCTTGCTAATTTGCTTTTGATATGCCTGAGCAAGGAGTCGCTCAATCCTGGGGAGCGTAGTACACCACCGTCGACTTCCGCCGGAAGCCCAGGTTGAAGAACGACGTCTCCGACTTCTTGCGCTCGTGCTCGTGCTCATTGCCAAAGTAGGAGAAGAGGCGTCCGGTGGCGCCCGTGGGTCCAGGTGCTCCGCCGGCCGCCAACCCCGCCCGGCCAGCACCGCCGTGTCCACCGCCCCCGTGCATGCTGTGGCTGCTGCTCTGGCGGTGGATCTTGGTGAGCGAGGTGTGCGAGTGCTGGCGCTGCAGGTGGAGGGAGTGCTGCTGGTGGAGCGAGTGCTGGCGGTGGTGCTGCTGGAGGTGGTGGTGTTGCTGCTGTCCGTGTTGTTGCTGCTGTTGGTGGTGTAAGAGTTGCTGGTGATGCTGTGCGTTGGCGCTGCCATGCAGAAACCCAGTGGTTGTCGGCGACAGGTCAGTCATCTCACACGGCCAGAGGGTGAACGAAGATGGGACCTTATGTATCCCGTCCGATAGTCGATAATGGTGGGATGCTGACCTGTTGAAGTACCGCTCCGAGGGCCTCGACCCCATCTATATAATTGTGTTTTGAAATATTTTGGATTTGTTTTTTTTTTTTTTGGTAAGAACAAAATTGTAGGTGTTAGTATCGGGCGGTTAAACTATCCAAATAGAGTTAGCTTCTGTTTGGCATTAGTTTGGTTTACTTTCTAGGCATTTCTCTCAGTGTTAAACTCTAAGGCGCTACATACACTCACATTTACATAGATTATGCACTTGCATGACTATTTATATTCGGTCTAAGCACTGCAGGACCTCCTGGCTGATACGCAGGGCCGTGCAGTCCTTAGACACCATATAGCCTAAGCGCTAAGACTTTTTACTGATTTTTTACTGATGTTTTGTGTTTTTTATTTACAAATTCGTGGCATGTCTAGTTGTGTGTGTTGGTGTCTGGAGTGTGTGTGGTGTAGTGTTTGGGGGTTAAGCGGGCGGTTCAAGTTACGGGTGCCACAAATAGTTACAAAAGCTGTGCTCTCCACATCTCACAAGTAGCACGACATATTAAGATACTTTTCAAAACAACAAAGGCAAACTGCAAACATTACAAAGCAAACAGATTAAGTAAAAATTGACTTAAATTTTAAAGTCAGTGATTGGGTGAGCTGTACATGGGAGAATGCAATCGGGGGATAGTGATTCTAGGAGTTGATCAAAAATAATTATTCATGGGGCTCTCACCGTAAGTTTGTTTGAGTTTCTCAGTCGGAAACTTGAATTTTTCTAAATAATTTGTTAGATTTTTCTAGATTTCTTTTTTTTTTGGTTTTTTGGTACAAAAGTGTTCTTAACAGTCGCATTCTAGTTGTAAAAACATTTTTGGGGAGTTGCGTGGGCGTGGCAGTTGGCCAGGAGGGCCTAAGCAAAAACAGTCGGGCCACACCAAAGGATCTTGGTTTTCGATCATGCGATTGGATCAAACAACGTATGAGTTGTTGGTCTTGACCGCGTAATACTTTCGTTTGTGTTTGTAATGGGTAGCATAGATATGCTGCGATCTGTGGGTCGGAAATCCAAAAAATGTCCAGACAGATAGATATAGAGAGGAGAGAGAGAAAAAGATAATGCATAATTTGAGGGGATATTGAAACAAATGAAACATCAAACTATTTAAAAACTAAAGGAAAACGTAGGTATCATGATGGTTCCTCCCGAAAATGGTACTAATTCTACGAGTGGCAACTGTACCTTTTCAAGGATACTTATCATTAGCAGAAAGTTTAATAAGTAATAGTACTTACCCCGGGCGATTGAGTTTCAGAGTTTTTCTTTGGCTTTAATACTTGTTTGTCTTGTTTTCTTGCTTTCTGTTTTTTTTTTTTTTGAAAATCTTTTTAAAAAATATATCTTGTGTTCTGTTTGTGACTTCAATTCAGTGACTTGTCCAAAACTCTTAGCTTATGTGGTGCGTGCGCGTAATGTGCCGCTGCGCATATCTGGTGGACGGTCCTGTGACTATAGCATCTCGTTTACAAAGCGCTGGCCTACCGCTACATGGTTTTATTATGTGTGGTCATGTCGTCGGTTTTTTTTTGCAGTGTATTTTCAATTTTGCAATGGAATTCGACCAATTTCGACCAGGTCGGTACGTGGAGTTTGTTCCGTACAGGTGTGATATGTGTTGTGTGGTGTTTGGTGTTTGGAGAAATAGAGAGAAACAGTTCGAGAAGGGGAGATAGTCCATAGAGAAACAGAGAGAAAGAGAGAGAGAGAAAGAGAAAGAGAGAAAGATAGGCAGGTTGTGGCAGAGGTGAAGAAGAAAAACAAGAGAAAAGAAGCAATAGTACAGATTAGCGGTGGTTACTATATACAAATCAGGATATTACTACTAGAGAGCTGCTAGGACTAAGATTTTAGATAGTCTTCAAAAGAATATATTACAAGGAACTGATCATGATCATTGCATCTACTCCGGTGACCTTTCGGAAGTGGGTCGGTGGGTGGGTGGTTGAAAGTGAACGGGTGGGTAGGTGGTTTGATTGTTGGAACCATTTTGGGTGAGGTGAAATTAGCTGGCGGTGGGCAATGCAGGACCTTTCGGATCGACTTACCTTAGCACTTGGCCAAAAGAAGACGAGTTATCGGAAAAACTGGCAAAACTGAGACTACCCAGTCGTACTTTACTATACTTTACTGTTACTCTGATTAGCTTACGAAAAGGATATGTGGATATCATAACTTAGATGCGAGAAGTTAAGTAAGGAGAGTCATTGGCAATCCCTCACAAACCAAACGTAATCAAATCAAACCCGAATTATCAAACGTTCTAGTTAGTTAAGGACTGGACTAAGGATTAGAACGAAATCGAATAGAAAAAAAAACATACTTCGCTTACAGTTTTGGGGTTTTTTTTTTTTGATAAATATATATGTAGTAATATATTAGTAGTAAGTTTGTTGATTGGTTGTCTCAGTATGGGCTGGGAGTATTTAGAGTTAGGTATTCCTATCGGAAAACTTTTCTTTCGGTTTCGTATATCGGTTTCGGGCACGGATATCTTGTGTGTCGTTTATGCTTAGGTTGTAAAAAACATATTCAATTCTCAGCACAGCCTAATCTCGAAACTCACCTCGCATTGTGACCCAGCATTATGATGCTTCTGCAAAAATACAATTGAGAAATGTCGACACGTTTTTTATATATATGTAAGAAGTAGATAGAGTATATAGCATAGAGTAGAGCTTGAAGAATTTAAAGTTAGACAGACAGATCGCACAGAAATAAAGGAGAAACTCAAGAGAAGATCACATCGGTTTGGAAAAACGAAAACTTGTCAATATATTCGAAAGAAAAACGAAGAGAAAACGAAGGTCGGTTCGAACATGCCAATTCATTAACAATTTAAATGCATATTTTATGGATATATCGTTATTTAGGACATAATCGTTTTAAGGGTCGGGGGCTTGTTTCCTTTGTGGTGGTGGGTTTCCATCTCAATTTTTTGAACGCCGGATAGATCGTTAATGCAAAATGATAATTGGGGGGCCCATCTTGAGTAAATTCGTTCATGCTGCGTTTTCAAAATCTTCATAACATCTATGGTAACTTGCGCTCTCCTCACTAAGTGCAGACAGTTTTGATAACGAAACAATAAACAACTAAGAATGAAATGTATTTACACGAACAGGTGAGGTTTGTTTTTGGTTTTTTAGGCAACTGGCAACCCAATCAGAAAAAGCTGCAATTAAGAATTCAGATCACATAGAACACAGCCAAATTAGTCACCAGCATCCATATTCTTGGAGTTCAGCATGACTTTTATTAATTTTTGTACATGAACATTTTCGCAACACCAGCGAAACTCAAGCTACGGATATGTATTTAAAGGTGTTTAAGGTGTAAGGTGTCAGGTGTGTAGATCGTACCACTACTTTAATCGAACCTCGGCCCCAGCAACCAACATCCAGATACAAAGATATCTTACAGAAAGATGGGCAAAATAAAAGATTGGCGATTGGCACGGCGAGATCGGTCGGGTTATAAGACACTGAGGTGGGCACTGAGGGTGGGCTGGCTACTTGGGTTGCTGGTTGGCCGAAACGGAAACGGAAACGAGAACTTAACGAAATCATCAAAAGTATCAACAACATTTAAAATATTTTATGGATACATGGATTAAGGTACATGGATAGTAGTAGTAACAGCTGCGCCAAAGAAACGTTCAAGAACAACAACGAGATGAATTTGTCAACCAATTTTGCACAACAGCCGAAGAGTTAGTGTTTGTAAATCGGCTTTTTATATAGAACGATAACGTATATATAATATATATATATTTTTCGTACAATATTTGTGTTTTATGGGTAAGTAGGGTATACAGTTGATGTAGTGTGTGGTGGATAAAGTGGAGTAAATATATAGCAACATTTAGATACACATGTCTAGATATTTCTTTCAACAAGGGTGAGCGCAAAGTTGGAAGCCAAAGAAGTGTTGTACTTGTTGTTGTTTGTGTGTGGGATATATGGATGTTTTTAAATACCTAAAGATAGCATAGAAGTTTTTGTATTTGGTTCAGTAAAAAATCTGTTTCTGGCAATCATTTCAATATCAGATAAAACTTTAAACGGAAGACTCGTTATTACTTTGAATGCCTACAATTCTAAGTTAATATCTAATTGATGTGTTGAAAGGATTTGTTTTTATTTTTTGGTTTTTTTTTGGTTTGGTTTTTTGGGTTTTTGGCTTAGCTTGTGTTTTTGGCCTACCGAATGAGCATAGCGAATTTCGGCTAATTCACAACAACATTGGTAACGGAGTATGGCACGAACGCTCTTTCTGCAAGATGTTTGTTTATATAAAATTAAATATATAGTTTATGTGAGTATTCAGGAAAATCAACGGCATTTTATCAAAATCAAACATGAGTATAAATTTTAATATTTAATTTATTAAAGACTTTTTTTGGTTGATGGTTTATTTAATGTTTTCTTTAGTCATTAATGCTACTTGGTAGCAGAAACATAAAATCATAAAAAATAATTTTCAAAATAACAAAAATGAAATACAACCGAAATAAAATGAAGCCGTAAAAATATTTCAACCAAACACGCACATTTTTTTTTTACTCTGACAAAGAAAATTAGCATATTAATTGCATAACAAGTATTTTTAGCAATATGAATAAATACACATAGAAACTCATTCCAACTTACCGCAGAAGTCGCGTTATATAGTCCGGCCAGTTCTCGGGGAACATAACGAGGAAAAATCCGATGCCAATCAGGATAACTCCGGCCAGCTTCATGCCCGCAAAGTTGGCACTGTACAGGATGACGTCGAGGGCTAAGGGGCAGAGTTATGGGTTAGAAAGTTACCACAAACTTTTGGAAACTAAGTTCTCTAATAATTATTTCTCTACAAGTGCCACCACTTCAGGAATATAATGTTTTTTTATGGGTTACATATGAGTGCCTGGTTCTTATATTACAATTTAAAACAATTTTTAGTCACGGAATGGTTCTAACAAAAAAGGAGTCCCGAACCCACAACCCCCCGAGTCCCCGGCGGATTCATGTTGAGGAGCTTGCGAGTGTACATACCACCAGAAACGGGCACAGCGGTAATCAGACCCAATGTCACAAACATGTTGTACGTAACGGCGGCGCTGAACTGCATCAGAACGTGGAAAACTGCAATCAAAATTAATTACAGCGATAAAAGTTTACAGCACAACAAATGCAGAAGGAGCAGGATATAGTAGAGTTAAGGGTCGGGGGTCCTACCCAGGAGCAGGAGGCTAGCGGCGAACAGCAGGTTCCAGGGTATGCTCTCCGATGTCAGGCTTTCCGTGCCAGTCAGGTAGAGTCCCAGCACCACGGGCCACAGCAGCAGGGCATTGAGGAAGCCGAGGGCGGTGAAAATGAAGGCGATTTGGCTCACCGGCGGATCGCCCATCACCTTGCGGAACATAACCTAGAAAGCGACAGGACAGGCCAACATGAGCATGAGCATGAGCACGCCATGGATTGGAATCTGGGTCGGCCCACTTGGGGCGGGGCGGACCTGGCGGAACTTACCCTAAACACGGCATAGCCGGCACCGGCCAGCGTGGCCAGGACAACGCCGCTCAGGGTGCGGCTCTCCGTGATCCCGTCCATGTAGGCCAGCAGGGCGATGCCCGTGTCGCAGAGAATGATGGCCACGATCTGTCAAATAAAAGAATGAGCTAGGATATCCAAGCTAGGACTCACCCAACATACGCGCACGCCCACAAACTGCTCGTGAAGGATCACCCAGGAAAGCAGGTAGACGCAGGCCACGTTGGTGGCAAACAGAGCCAGTGCATCCGTGGCGTAGAGCACGTGCAGGGACAGCGTGTACAGGTAGGTGGTGACCAGCCACAAAATGCAGAAGCAGAGACAGCGATTGAGAAAACGTCCTAGAAGTGATCAAGGAAAGGTTTCATCTCGGAAAGTTAAGAATATACTTCATTTCTTAAACTCCACTCACCCACTGTGAAACCTCTTTCCCGGAAGCCACGCAACACGTCGCCTAGGATGTCGCTTAGCTTCTCGCACTTGCGGGTGGAGAACAGGCCCAGAATGTAGATGGGGAAGAAGAGCAGCGAGAAGTTGGTGAAGAACCAGGCGGCGAAGAAGGGGGCGCTGAAGTAGACGGGTTGACGCGGTGGTATGTTGAACATTTCGGTGGCGTCTTCGACGTGGTGCAGCGACGAGTCGCTGATGGCCAGGATGTCCTCCAGCTCCGTGCTCAGCTCGGCCCGGCTCGAGGACGTGTCCTGGTCATCGTTCAGCACGTCGTCGTAGGGGGCACGATACTTGTACATGTACTTGATGCAATGCGTGGCCCCCACCCACGAGGCAGTCATTAGGATGGTCACGCACACCCCGAAGTACATCTGAAGGGGAATTTATTGGTTTGGTAATTACTTTACCAAAAAGTAATGTAAGACCGCGATTCATTCACCTTGCGTGCCAGTTCCGAGCAGCAGGACTCCTTGCAGGCCTGCAGCTTCCGGAATCGCCATTCCGGCTCATCCGCATGTCCGTTTGGCTGCTGGTGCTGCTGCTGGGAGTCCGCTCCTGTTTGCGTGTCACTGGAGTCGCCGCCGAAGTGATGGCCTGCATTGTGGCTACCAGGTGCGCTCGTGGGGGTGTCCGCCGGGATGATGATCACCTCATTGGGGTCCTGTTGGCTCGATGAGATTGAGTCTTGGTGGGTTATTTGCGGGTTGCTCGAGGTGAGCACGTTGCTGAAGCCGCAGCCGCCGGAGGCTCCGCCGCCACCGCCATTGACTCCCGTGGATCCTGGGGCAGTGGTGACCACGGCCGGTACTGTGGAGCTGCTGCTGGTTCCCGCTCCGGTGGCGCTGTTGTTACTGTTGTACGGGCCATTCGTCGAAGAGTCGCCGGTGACCACCACGGAAGGAGTACGCACCCGTTTCGGATTGAAAATGGCTGGAATCTCGCCGTCGCGCGTCATGCTATCATCATTTCCGGACTCCTTTGTGGCTCATAGTGGTCCGTTTCTAGAAAAATAAAGGGGGATTATTTTAGAATTTTAATTAAAGAAAACTTTTCAAATAAATGAAAATCCATCCAAATAACCCATCCAAAGTTCAAGTCAACATCGAAACCAAACATTTTAAAATGGTAGAAATTTTAAAGTTTGGAAAGTATTTTATGGGACCTTTGAGGTTCAATCAATGATTCAGTGGGATTCCGGCAACCTTTTCCATCCTTGCAGCCTTGTTTTCGGGCCAGGTCTCAAGAATCAGGCTGCTCACGTGCTCCTGGCGATTAAAGATTGAAGAACACGCAAATGGGAGGCCATTTCTCGGTCCTCTACAAGCAAAATGCACACCCGAAAGCCCACGCAGTCGGCCCAGGGTCTGAGCTATTTGCATGGACTCCCCTGCCACCCCACCTCCATGCACCCCTTTTTTGGGGGGGGCCTAGGCCACACTCAAGGCTAGAGCCTCCCCAAGTTTTACGAGCTCCGCCGAATGACCAACCAACCGGTTAGCCAACCAGCCGTCTGTTCATTAAAGTCCTGGCCAGGGCAGGAGCACATTGATTGGATGCCCACAGGGTCGGGGAGTGGGTGGAAGGGCATTCATAACAATGCGAATTATGAACGCTTCGGCGCAAGCAGGTCAAGTTGAGTGGACAATAAACTGCCAACCGGATCTTGCCGGGCAATTTGTAAGCATTTTAAGTAGAGTGTTAAGTCCAGACCCACTCCTTGACCGGATAAATTACAATGTCCTTCAGTGTCCTTCACCTTCGCATCCCGCCGAGCGTCAAGCGTCGGGCGCTGTGCGCCTTGTGTTTGCCTTCGATAATAGCATTCTAATTGAAACATTAATTATTCAGCCCAGCTGGGGGCCAAATGCATATCCGACCGCCGCAAGAACTGTGAGGCCTAATGGCTATATAATGAAGGTCCCCTCCCCAATAATTGGCGGCCGTTTTTGTGCCGATTGGGAATATATGGCTCATACCTTATCGATTTCTAGACTCGTTATGGAATCTGTGGCTTTGATAGAGAGATTTTGCAAAGCTTATGAATCAAAGATTTCCAACTGAGCTGGGGGCTAACAGCAATCGAAGCTGGGGAGCAGTTTTTAGTTAACGCTGAGCACTCGACTAGCTGAGAAATGAGCGGAAAACTTGTTCCACTGCTAGCTTTAACCTGGCTAGGAGGTGTGTGCTCAAACATTAAGGGTATTATGTTTTTAACTACAAAAATATGGTTTAATTACAGCCTTGGCATCAGGGGACACCCAATGTGGCCGTCTGGACGAGCGTTTAATGTACACCACGGACGAGAAAACAGAACCTTCGGAGAATCCCTGGGTGGGCTTGCTGCTGGAGGAACTGCGTAAGATAACAGACATTATAATTCATCTTAGCCAATTCCTAAATAAAACGTCCTATTAGCTGACCGATACCGGAACACTCTCTGTTCGGTGGTCATCATAAACGAGCTGCACGTTCTGACCACTGCCACGTGCGTGAAGCGCTTCAAGAATCGCGGTGCCGACCTGAATGCCGTGGCCATGCTGGGAGTCTGGGACGAGAATACCGAAACAGACGAAGATCTGCAGTGCAATGAGAAGGGCTACTGTGTCCCGGGTCCGGCCCTGTTAAACGTGACTGAGATTAAGGTTCATCCCGACTCCGACAAGGATACGGGCGACAATGATCTGGCCATATTGCGGCTGCACAAGAGAATTGAGTGGACGCACTGGATCCAGCCGATCTGCCTTCAGGGCACCAATGAGCCAGAGTCACTGATCCACCGGAATCTGCACTACTCCGGCTTCAACCACGCCGACAGTCGCAAGGGCAAGGGCCTGTCCATGACTGTGTCCCGTCAGAAGTGCAAGCAGCTGACCTCCGCATCCATTCTGCCGCCTGAGAATCAGGTGTGCGCCTATCCTGTAAAGAGGACCAAGTTCTACCCAGGGTCGCCACTCATGGACGTGAATGTGGAGCGGGATGTGCCGCACAACTTCTACTTGGTGGCCCTGCTGGTGAAGAGTGTGGACGCCGGACAGGCCACCACCCAGATCTACCAGGATGTGAGACCATCACGCTCTTGGATTATGGCGAATTCCCAATTTAAATAAGCTGGCACGAAGATGAATCAATTAAATTTTTAAATAAAATATGCATTCGGGAAATGTTTGTGGAAGTTGCGTCTCGGCGATGCATCACACTGGAAACTATCTAGTTTTCCGCATCTGAAACGGGTTTATTATACGATGCGGCATTGTAATCGTATAACATTAATTAGTAATAGTAGTAGAAGTGGCTATGCGCGGAGATACTGGGTATTTCTAATAACAAATTCTCAAACACTGTAAAAATCTAAATTTCAATTAAAAATTGTCTAGAAATTCTTCAAATTACTGTTCCAATTAGTGACTTTTATTGAAAATATAACTATTATAGTTGGGTTACTGGGTTACTAACCTAGAGTTACTCCAGATTAATATTTTAAAGTCTTATTATGTAAAAACCTATTATAAATCTTTTATTTTTCTGTGTAGTTCGCGGCCTCTCATATAGAGGAATAATTAATACATGATCTCCGGATAAAACCCACTGTTTATTGCATAGATATTTTTAAAAGTGCCTGGAGACTTCTCAGTATTCTCATCTCAGTTGACGTTGAGCAGTGCCTTAGAATGCTTGGACAAGTCGCGGTGGTTACGCTGCTTCTGGGTCTAATTGGCCCGGAAGTTCATGCGGAGAGTGCGAAGCAGGAGGAATGTGGCCTTTTCAACGAGGAGCAGTTGCTGAAGCAAGGACTCTTTGCAATCCCCACAGAGCACCAGTGGATAGCGCGCATTGTGTTTTCAAAGGGTGAGTACTCATATCCTTTAAAGATAGTATAACCATTAACTCGCCACTTTTAGGCTTTGAGGGAAAAATTCGGGACAACGGATGCTTGGGCGTGCTCATATCGAAGCGCAATGTCCTGGCCCCTGCCCACTGTTTTGTCCAGTACAATGGCGAGGCGGAGGCTTTCTCCGTCCATTTGGGAGTCTACAACAAGACCACTCCCATCAACCGGCCAGCCTGTGACATCGACGGCTTCTGTGTACGCCCGGCCCAGGAGATCAAGCTTGCCGAAGTGGCCATCCATCCGGAGTACGACCCACTCACCCTCAAGAACAGCCTGGCGGTGCTCACTTTGCAGCGTGATGCCAAGCTGAATCCCAACGTGATGCCCGTGTGCATGCCACCGCCGGACCTGGTTAACCAAACTCTGGTGGGGCAGACGTTCGTCATGGCCGGGCTGCGGACTCGGGAGGATCTCAAACTGAAGACGTGGGTGAACACGCTGAGTCGCGGCTTCTGCAACTCAAAGGTCAGCTCGCTGGTGACCAGCAGCACCACCATCTGCGGCTACCAGGCCAAGCCGGAGACCTACTATATTGGCGCCCCGCTGGTAGGCATGCAGGTGCGGTTCCAAGAGACTCAGAACTTCTACCTGGTGGGTCTGATGATCGACTGGCGTTGGGAGAGCCACCGCATCATGTCCAGTTTCCTGACCATCCGGCCCTATCTGGATTTTATCAAACTTAATGCCGATTCGCTAATTGAGCGTTCCTGAACGCCGAGTAAACTACTCGTACTCGTATGTATAGTAAAAATAAATCGGAGGGGAAACCTCTGGAGTTGCCAACAGGTCTTGCCCGGGGTGTTAATTATTCAGCTCGAAACCCGAGCTCGTAGCTCACGGCGCACGGCTCACGGTCTCGAAGCTCGTGCAACATGCAAATTGTTCATACACTTATAGCATTTTAATGAGCAGTCACTCAGCGTAGCACAGCCGTCGCTAGTTGGCTAATGCGAGGAATATGGAAATTTCATCGCTTTCCCCCACAGTCCTTTCTGCGAAGGGGGAAAGTCTGCCGGCTGAAAGGAGACAGCCGAAAATGTTGCAAATCCCCAGTAGAACGGAAACGGAAGCCCTGGGGCCATGGGTGGGATGGGTTTGCCTTGCCATTGGCCGTTTGCCAAGACATTGACTTGACTGGAGAAACATGTTTCACAATCCAAGCCCTGAACTAGGATGTGCTCTGTAGGAAGACACAGTGAAAATATAAGACTTATTTAAGTCATAGGTTAGAGACTTTTTTATAAAGAGCCCTAAGGCTAAGCCTAAGGTTTAAGTAATAGGCTCGAGATGGTAGAAAACCTCCTTTTTTTGTCCTGTGTAAACAAATAGTTATACTTATATGAACAATTTATTTTAATGTGAGGAAATGCTTAACTATAAAGCTAGTCTGGGCTGTAAACAAGCACAAAAGTGGGGAGAAGGTAAAATATTAAAGAGCGGCAAGGTTTTCACTTTTCTTTCCCCCGAAGACTTCTCAAGCTAATGTAGACATTGCTTTTATTGTCCACCCAGAGCATACTTTTAGGCGCCAAATTGCTCTATAAAGCAGCGACGAGGAAATCGGCGAGCGGGATGTTTATTTTTTGCCAGGAATAAAAATCACAATAAAATTTAAATTGCCAGCCATGGAGGCTTGAGACAGAAAGCTGAAAGCACGGAAAACGTGACCAAATGTCCGGCGGACAAGAGACGAACACGGATAAACAGAGCATTCCGTCTCATGCCATTTATGCTGTTGTTGTTGTGGATTACTCGGGGCGAAATGCGATTCAAAACAAAACAAACAGCTCTAGTTCAAAAGGAGAGAAAGCCCCAGAGAAAGTGCGAGAGAGAGTACGCAAAGAGAGCTCTACAGAGAGCGCAGCCTTGTAGTGGGTGGTGTTGTCGAAAAGTAAACGAGCTTACAGTAACACTAACAACAATGGCGCGGTCGAGGACACCACGCGGCGTATACGCAATGTGACATTTTTAGTGGTTATGGTCAAGCGCAGCACTTGAGCGAGGGCAGTGGGAGAGCGAAAACGAAAGTGACGCCAAAAACTATAGCAGTCAGACACCTGCTCAGCAGTAAATACACCTGGGACCTGAGGCACAGAGAAAAAAAGCCTAGAAAGGAAACCATAAATCCATGTCACTTCAAAGTTTTTAAAAAAATATTTATCTCTTTTTAAAAACTTTTAAACTAGTATTTAAGAAAATCTAAACTACTAATTAATTTTGACTTTATTTTTTTGTCTGTACAACAAATGCGCTCTTGAAAATGGAAACAAAACGCCCGCCAAGATGTGTTTGTGTTTGTGTTTTTGGGCGGATTTGTGGTTGGGCTTTTGGGCTAGTGACTAGGCCTTGAGTTCGGCGTACACCTTGACAGTAGCAGCTAGCGGCCGTGTCGAAAATCTAGACCACCCCCGCACGAAAAACAGTTGTGACATCCTGGGCTGGGTGTGTGAATTTTTTATTTAGCCCAGAAACCTGGGCTTAGAAGAAAATTGTTAGTGTGAATTCTGGGCCTGTTTTTGTTTTTTTCGGATTTGGGAAATGGGGAAACCTTCCCAGGCTGTCACCTGGCCGAGGTTGTAGGTGGTTCGAGCTATAGATGCTCGGTGAGGCGTTTAATGTTTTTATATAATTTACTTAAGCACTTAATGTCATTTTCCCACGGCACATGCCACATGCCTAGAAAACTTTACGCAATTCTTGGGCTGCTCTTCACCGCCGACGTAGCCGTCGCCTTCTGGCGCACTCTCCGCGGCTTTCTCTTATATAAAGATTGGTAATGGACTGAGTTGAGCTGCGCTGGCCTGGCGACACTCAGCTCCGTGGCTGAGCCCTTTACTTAATTCAATTAAATGGGTAAAAATATGCTGGCGACATAAATTTGGAGCTGCTCAGCTCGCCAGCAAAACGGAAGGCTGCACGGATACATAAGAGGCACCAACATACACACAGATACACACACACACACACTCACACGGAACATAAACGCACACACGCACCAACTGCGGAGCTGGCACAGTTACATAGATACAAGGATTGGATGGTTAGATGGATGGATGTGTCTTGGCTCACATTTACAAAAGGCACACACACACGACGATTCGCTGGCAACTGCCACTTGAACGGGCCCTTTGACTTGTTTTCCTTCGAGTTAGGTGGAAACTGTGACAATCACACAGTTCCTAGCCTTAGCTCCTGGCGTTTTTCCAGTTCTCCAGCTCTTTTCTAGAGCACGCGCCGCGACCGTCCTGGGGAACCGTGTCGTTTTTGGCCAGGAATCTCAAAGTCGACTAACCGTTTCCTGAGCTACGGCCCAAAGCCAGTGTCGGAGCTTTTCCTGGCTTACACTCTCACCCGAGGAAAAGCCCTCTCTCTGGGACACGATATCCGTTCTCTCACCCACTGGCTGACTCTCTCATTTAATTGGCAAAGAAAAACACTTGTTAGGAATTTTCTTTGCCGCATTCTCTCTGTATTTTGATTTGTTTTTGCCGCACTTTTTTCCGTTTAGCAGCTGTTCGAAGGTCCCAATAAATTGTTTTCCTAAAAAAACTGAAGCAAAGTTTTGAGATCCCATTTGATAAGGATTTGCACATTCCGTGATGACAGAAACAAAATAAGTTATTGCATTACTTTAAGCAGTATTTCGTTAAATGGTAATTGAAGAATTCTTTTCATAAGAATACAAAGGCAGACTATTACAAAATCATCATAAAATTAAAAGAAAATGTTTTCTGATTTGTGAAATATTAAAGGACCAATAATATAGGGTATTGTTGTATACCTTATGGTTCCAAAAATATAAGGTAGTATATCCCAAAATTAAACAGAAGCTTTATTTTTTTAAGAAATCATTTATTTTTTTTTATTTATAGTTACATTTATTTAATTTAATTTTTTTCTAGAACATAATACGATTAGAAAGTGGGAACTTTCTTACTGTCAAGAACCTGTCATATAATTTCCTATTCTAAAATATTATAATTTTAATTCGCTCGATATGGTCCAATCCCTCTAATATGGCCAATTTGGGGCTGCCCTGGGAATCAGAATTGTCTTGCCATAAAAACTTAAAGCTGCCAAGAAAATGCACCCATTAATACCCACATGATTGGACAAAATCGTCAAAATCTTGATAAGTAGGAGCCATCATAAACACAAATTCGTCAGGAGAAAGCATTTCGCGACATTTCCACTCATCGCAGACGGCTTTGCATAATTTTCGAAATCAGAACCCACAAGCAAACGAGTTTTTGGCCAAGTCTACATCTTGAATGGCGCATTAATTGTGTAATCCATAAAAATCCATTTGCATATGTATGGGCGAGATTGGCAGATGCCAAACGAGCCCCACGGGAGAGACGGTGTCCGAATTGGGTTAGTTGGTTTGTTTGGTGTCGATATAAGTTAGTGCCACCAACAACGGAGTGGGCCTGGGAACAATACCATTACAAATCAATTTGGCTAAGTCTCTGGCTAAGAGTTCGCCGAACCAATAAAGACTAATTCTAATTAGCTGCTCTGGGCGACAAAACAAAAACTGTCAAAAAGTTGTTGACCACTAAAATCGAGAATCGGAGGAGCATCAGTCGGCCGTGGACCGTGATCGGCAACAGACGTTTTATTAAAAAAAAAAAACCTAACATATATTGATTAACCATGAAGTTGATAATTTGCTTAGCTTTTGTACTATCTTTGGCTTGCAGTACCTCCTTTAACGCCGATGCAGCCAGGATATCTTCCTTGGAAATTCAGCGTCGCTGGCCAGACAGTAAGGCCAAGATCAGGTAGGGTTGACCCGAATATAAGTCTTAATGTAAGCTTTCTCTAAAAAACTTAAATTACTTTCAATTTCAGTTTCCGGAATTATCCAGTTCAGTATGTCCTGCTGCCAAGTGCCAGGGGCGGATACACGAGGCGTTATGTCCACAATCTGGGCAAAGCAGCTGCAGCACCGACCACTGAGCGCCCTTTGGTGCGGGTTTGGAACAGTTTTGTTAGGAGTGTGACCCCCTCTATCAGTTTCCGCAACTTAACCAATCCACTGGCCAACTTCTTTAACGATGGCACTGCCAACATTATAGAGACCTCTCCCGTTGTGCTCCAGGCCTACGATGACGAGCAAAACAGTCATCAGGAAGAACCGTATCCAGTGGTCCAGGAGAGTTCCAACAAACGCAGGCGAAAGCGACGCAAGCAACAGAAACGACGTCCCACTTTCGGTTCGGAAGAATATGGCGATCCATACAATCCTTACGATCCGTATTTTACGCAATCTCCACCATTGTCTCCCGAACAACCCATGTTCTTCTATGACACGAACTCCGGTAACTACTACGGAGTCCAGCGCTATAGTCCGCAGGATTTCCAAGCCAATTTTTTCAACAGTTTCCACGCCCAGGATGAGGCCGAACCGGAGGTTGAGTCCCCCGCGGAACAGATTCCGGTGCTGAGAAAACTCAGCACTCGGAAGGTAACCCTTCTGCGCCCATTGCCCTTGTCATCGGCTAAAGTTCAATCCCAATCGCATTTGGCCGAAACCGTGCAGCCAGAACCAACCAATAGCAACGAAGAGGTGGCGGAGGAGAGCGATCTTAACGACAGCACCGCAACGAGCGATGCACCGACTAGCGAAGACGACGGTGAAATTGACTCCCAGTCACCACTCTCCGAGAGCATGCGCAATTCACTAGGAGCGTATATGCGCGACGATCACCACACCCGCCAGCGTCAGAGGCAGTCCGGCATTGAAGGAAGAGTCTTTGATTCCTCCGCTAAAGTCTCTCCCCGCAACCAACAACGTCGCTATTTTAGGCTGGGCGCCTGGTGATCCGATCTAAACTATCTTGAATAAACGCTGTGTGTACTGGATGATCGTGTATTTGTCAGATGTGTTAGGGTCGTATGAATGTGGGGAATGCATGAAATGAAGCTGGCAGCTGCAAGAGAGACAACCGGCTGGTTTAATTGTACTAGTTACATCTTAGATGTAGTGAGGTAGACATTAAACTTACTATACTAAGGATCACAAGTAATTTGCTAGAGTTCTGCTTTGAGGGGGTCACGATCAAACGAGCCTAGTAAGCCGCGAGGCAGTGCCGGCCAAAGGATCGACGGGTAGCGCCACTTTGTTGACATGCTGTACATTCTTGAAATAGGTGTGCTGCAGAGCATCCTTGGCAGAGATGCGCAAATTGGGATCATAGCAAAGCATCGACTGGGAAAAGACATTAAATTATTTATGGGTCCAAATGATTAGTATTTTCGTTACTGCACCATTATCAGATCATGAGCCTCGTGATCGGTTATGACCTGAGGCATATTGGTAGACTCCCACTTGGGAAATTTGGCTTTGAAGTCGGGCAGTTGTGTCACTCCCGGCCATTTGGTTTCGTCGGGTGTACTTAACGTGCGGAATATCCTATATAGCTGGTCGATCTCACTATCGCCGGGGAATAGGGATCGCCTCATAATCTGTGAAATGGGATGCTGGGGTTTCCATTAAAAAGAAAGACTATGTTCCTTACCATCTCGCAGAATATGCAACCCAGACTCCAAATATCTACTCCCGTGGAATAAAATTTTGTGCCGAGCAATATTTCCGGCGCTCGGTACCACAGAGTGACAACTTCGTGGGTGTACGCTCTCATAGGTACATTAAATGCTCTTGCCAGTCCAAAGTCGGCTAACTAAAATGAGAAATGATCGAAATTTAAGAGAAAATTTGGTAAAATCCTTAAGCAAACATTTACCTTTATTCTCCCTGCAGTGTCGACTAGAAGATTCTGTGGTTTGAGATCACGATGCAGAATACGGTTTGTATGGCAGAAGTCGATGGCGTCGAAAATCTGGTGCATGTAGCTCTGAAAATAAAAGTATGGAGATGACGTGATGGGTTTTAAATTTATCGCGTATAGACACACCTTTATTAGTACAGGAGTGAATACATCCTTCTTTCTATCCATCAGTTTTTTTAGATCCATGTTGAGATATTCGAATATCATGTACAGATTGTTTCCGGAGATGACCACGTCGAACAGTTGCACCACATTTTTGTGTTTAAGATTCTTTAGTAGGGAGATCTCTCGAATGGCAGTTGAAGGAACGCCCTCCGTCTCGCTGTAAGGTAAAAATATAAACATCTATTGTGGTTAACAAGTATTTGAAGATTGTTGTTTGGAGAATTTCTTTTTACAGATTACAAGATGATGCCCTGCACCACGAAGCCGAATCATGTGGTGCTACGGTTAGCCAGAAAAAACAGCGCAGCTCCCACAGAATCCGGGCTGCGTAGGACAGGCGAATGACATTTGTCAAGGACACTTAAAGGATGCTTGTAACAGTGTCATAACAGCTCAAGTATCTTTAGTTTCAGTGCATTATTTTTATTGAAAATGTTGAAATGCGTTCTGGGTGCGGTTTGCAGAATCCAAAAACTGGGTACAGACCCTTCCAGGCGAATCTTCTTGAGCGCCACATCCTTCCCGGTGGAATTACTCCGCGCCTTGTAAACGATGCCGTATGTCCCCTCTCCGATTTTCTCGGCGGGCTGGAAGTTTTCAAGAAAAGGTTTCATTGAATGGGATGGCTCATTCAAATAGTACACAACTCCTTATTTGTATTGTTATTTGCCTCGAAACAAAAAATTAACAACTTTTGGAGGGAAATTCTTCTTCTTCAGTGATGCTACCAATGCTAGAGGTGTGCAACATGGAGACAAGGGTTCCTAGTGTGACCATGGTCACCGTGTCTATTTCCAGTGGTCTGGCAACATCTTTAAATATAGTTTGAAAAAAAGGTAGCAGTTAATTTAAAATGTTGCATGTTTTGTTTATTTTAGAAACAGAATACAAAATACAGTTTTATATCTTTTATTGTTTTTTTTTCTTTACAAAATGCAGAATGAAAATTATTTCTACACAACGCAAACAAGGAAAATTATTATTAATAATATACTTATAAGTATTTTATTTATTTCAAAGATAAATTGAATAAAATTAAAGAAAAAAAATATGATTTTTAGTTTAATCCATAATCTTCTCTTCTATCCACTTCTTAAAAGGAGCAATCATAATGAAGATATCCGGACCATCAATATCCCAATCAAATCCGGCCAATCGCATACCAAGAACATAGAGCTCATCCGGATCCCTATCGATCACATTAACACCCACTAGGATACTGCCTAGCTCGACGAGCAGCCTGGGGTACCGAGAGTTTTCCCTCACATACCCGCAGACTAGATGCTCTAATTTCAAGCGTACGTATGCATTCTGGCATGTGATTTGGTCGACTATCTGGACATGAGTCTTGAGGGGCTGGCTCTCCTCGAGGCTGTTCCGCTTCGTGTGGCCTACCAGCTCAACGTAGTCTCCGGCCATCGGGAGGTGAGCCTCATCAGATGGCGGCAGACAGATGGGCTTTAAACTCGATACAAGGGGTACTTCTTTGGCCAACCGGATCACTGCTATGTCATATTCGTAGCTATGCTTCGCGTATTGGGGTGAGATGAAGTGATTCTCAATTTCAAATGTTGTTGGAGATGGCCCAACATTGAGCGTGGCAAAGGACACGGCAAAGGGAGTATGGTCATCATGGTGGAAACACTTGGCGGGTGTCAGGACATGTCGCGAACTAACAAGCACCCCAGTGCATCGGTATGACACATCCAATGCGCTCTTACTCCGATATAGTACTCCACACACCCAGGGTTGTTCATTCAGCTGCGTGATTGAATTGTTGTTGTATAGCTGAGATTCGATGAAGCGGCCACATTTTTTACTCGTACTTGCCACCTCAAAAACTAGAAAATAACATAATTTTTTAGAGATCCAAATAATTTGAAATTAATCTTACTTGTAAGAAGGAAAATCAGGAAAAACACAACGAACTTGAAACCGGACATATCCATTTACTCTGACCGTTGGGTTCATAATGTTTCGACTCAGTAAGCTGTAATCTCGAAGACCCCAACGCTGAATAGTAATGTTTATAAATACATACATATATCATACTATGTGACTCGCCCAGTGATTTTTTTTACACACAAAAAAAAAACAACATTTTACATAATTTTAAGTTTATACTAATATTCTTACTTAGAACTTTCTCCTTCGCAGTGTAAAACATTCAAACTTCTGATAACAAATATGACTATTATCATACATTTATTATTAACACTTTGTGGTTTTGTATTTGTGGTTTTATATAAATAAGTTTAACGCTTTTTCATAATAAAACTATTTTAGAAATCCACTTCTTGTACGGTTCTATAATGGTAAAAAGATCTGGGGTATTATAGATCCCTTTTGTTGATATCCCTAAAAGGTGCCACAACATTGTTCCATTTACCATTTTATTGCTCAGAAGAGCAGCACCTTTTAGGTTTATATTACCCGAGTGGATATATCCACAAACCTCGTTATGGGTTACATTAAGGCCCATAAGTTTTCCTTGACAAAAGGTTTGACCTGTGATGTGAGCCTGGGCTTGGAAAGCTTTTGTGTTGACAGAGTTGGAACCGCTAACTGCTTCTGGGTTATTGGAGCCCACTACATCCAGTAGCCGGCCAGTCAGGGAATTCTTATTGACTTGATCTTCTAGCGGTATGCTACAATTCAATTTTTTCCTGAGCCTCAATATAGCAATGTCATTGGAGGTGTTAGTCTCCAAAGAGTACAGCGGATGTATGAATATCTTTTCAACCCTAATTGCAACATTAAGGCCATAAAACTTGTAAGCGGAGCTTTTCTCCTTAAAATATACACAGTGTGCCGGTGCCAAGACATGATTGGGGGTTATGGCAACTCCGGTGCATCCATAGATTGGTTTTCTTTCCTTTGGAGGTATGTACCCTACCATCCCGAACCAACTAAAATGTGTCGCATCACTTATTATAGACTTTCCAATAGTGGAGTTCAGATCTAAGCACTCGTTATCATTTTCTTCGGCAATTGCATCTGAAAAAGGGATTTTTCGTAAAACTAATAGTCGGTTTTTCATCAGAATAACACTTACTACTTAGAAAAATAAATAATAGTGCCGCCGTTATGAGCATTATGTGTTCTGCTCTCTAGAATTGTCGGATAAGAACTGAGTAGACTCCATTGTGGGTTTTGAGTTTTTCAAAATTAAATACAAATATGTATATACACTCTTTCCGATTGCAGCTTGTTATCGCAGAGAAGCGTTTAAAAAGACATTTCATGCGTTTTATGTGCGTTGCATTTAAAATTGTAATTGCTTGTAAGTGCCGCACGCAATTGGCCTGCGCCTACACTGCCACACTTCATCTTGTCTCAATTTGTGTTTTACGTGTTGCAATAAAAAATGCCATAAAAATGAATTTTAATTTGGCTTCGCTTTGGCTGCGTCTGTTTGGCATTTCGCGTTTTCCGAGTTGCGTGTTAGAGACTAGCCGAGAATGCTTTTGGCGCACAACCCGCCCGCCGTCGCATTTTATGGCACATTAATCATTGGGGAGCACGGGGCGTATGCGTAATCAAGTTGCTCGACAGCCGCCAGCTGAAGTAATAACTCCCCCCGTTCCAACGATGATGATGACTTCACTGAATCTTCTCCAGAACACCTCCTGTGATCAGTGCAGTGCTCAGGGCGAAGTGTTTGACGACAATTAGGCATGATTCATTGGCATCGCAAATCTCGTGCTCCTGCTCTCGTTTACGAGAATTTCATTTCATTGAATTTATGGCTCCAGCTGCTCGCCCATTTCCATATTCCATGTGGCTGCTGCTCGATAAGGTTGCTGCTTGCACTTGGCTGCTTGGCTGGTTAGTTGGTTGTTTGGTTGGCAAGTGGTTTTGGCCCCAGCCAAACATAAATTATGCCAAGCTGATATGTACTTAAGGTTTTCGGCGCCAGCCAAGTGTCGAAAAACTGCATTTCCCCTTCAAGAACGGTGAGCGGAAAACAGAAAGCAGGAATCAGAAATCAGAAGCACTGGCGTTGAAATTGGTTTCGAGGTCTCTGGCAAGGGGCGGTCTAATGGCAAAAGTTGAGGGCCAAGAGGAGAAATTTAATTCTTTGCCAGCGACAACCCAGCGGCAAAGACCCCAACTGTGTTTTGGGGTTTCCGCGTGATTTATGCATTTGGGTTTGGGTCAAAAGCCGGCAACTTTGTGCAAATAACCTAAAAGCATTACCAATTTATTACCGGTGCAATGGAAGGGAAGTGGCTCGGAAGGGCAACCACACTGCTCACCATTTTCCATACTCCGCATAAATGTGTTGAACTTTTCTCCTGTTTATTTACAAGTCTGTCTAAAAGTGAAAAGTTGGCCTGACAGGTGAAAATTAAAATATAATTCATTCGCTGGTATTTCTCAGAATCCAATCCAACTGGGATAGTATTTTTATGTGTATCTGCATATCTTTTTTTCCGGACGAGGAACGAAAACCGCCCACTACAATGCCTATCAGTTTAAATTTCTTGGGATTCCCCACAGCTACGACCAGGGCAGATCCGGAAAGTGGCATACGACTGGTGTGGCCGCAAGTGAATTCCTTCGGGAAATTTTCAAACTGTGTCCGACACTCTTGGCTGGTGCTAGACTCAAGAGGAAGCTTTATTCTTCTGGTTTCCAGAGGAATAGCTTCTAAGAAAGGTCTCTCATAACCGGCTACGGTAAGATCCTCACTGTATTTTTGATGCTCATCCGTAGGCAGGCATATGGATTGAACAAAGTCGGTGTTAACCACGTTTTCCTTTAGCTCTATGATGGCCACATTATTCCCAAACTCTCCATACTTGTAGTCCGGATGAATTATTATCTGATTGACCGGAACTTTCTGCGTTGCTTTAGCAGTTATGTACGTGCTTGTGTTTCCGGAGCTCCAGTCACCAAAAACGAGGTCCTTTATTTCCACACTGGGATCATGGACACAACGAGAAGCTGTTAACGCATGTCGGGCACCTATGAGGACTGCCACACATAGGAGTCTTCGGGCACCATCATTAGCTTCAATTTTTCCAATCCATGGATGCTCATTGGGTTGGGTGAGGAGCTCTCCGTTCCACATCTGAGCCTCGTCCACCCTGCCGCATTCTTGCGGCTCCACAGTGGCAGGGTATGTGGCTGTAATTTGAAACTTTTTGTTTTCCTTTCCTTAAAACTATTTTAAACTATAACTCACTTGAAAATAGATAGGGTAATGTCAGCAATAGGCCAAAAAATGTGATGCTCCGCATTTTTACTAGTTGCTTCAAATTCTCAAATAGCACTGGCTTGGATTCCCTAGACCCGAGTTCTCTTATAAATAGAGACTGCTCTCGAGCTATAACCTGATGTGCATTTAAAATTATAAATAATATATTATCTAATATTACAAGCCTGGTTTTAATGCCTTATTCAAATTGGGAAAAAATGACTTACAAATTAAAAAAAGATGATGATACATCATATTTTATAATAATAAATATAAATTCACTCCCCTTGTCTACGACTTATTAAACCAAAAAATGTTTCCGATCATATAAGCTTGTAAAAGCAATCGGCATTTAATTAATATTTCATATTCCAATACATCTCATTCGCTAATATTTTTCTGAATCCAATCCAACTGAAGCGGAATGCTTATATAGCCCTGAAGATCCCTTTTCTCAGATGAATAAAAACCAACCACAGCGATGCCAATCAGATGAAATTTCTTGGGATTCCCGACAGCCTCCACCAAAGCAGATCCGGAAAGAGGCGAACGAGCAGCGAAGCCGCAAATTAGTTCTGTTGGAAATTGTTTAAACTGCTCGTGGCACTCTTGGCTGCTCAAGGATTCAAATGGAACTTTAATTCTCCTGGTTCCCAGAGGGTCATGTCGTCCTATCCTGGCAAAGCCAGCTAGAGCAAGATCACCACTAGCCTTGTCACCCTTTAGATCCTCAGCTGAAGGCAAGCAAATGGGTTGAACGAAGTCAGTGCTGACCACTTCATGCTTTAACTCTATGATGGCCAAATCGTTTTGAGCCTCTCCAAGCTTGTAGCCCGGATGCACTGTTATCTTTTTGATCGGAACTTTCTGCGTGGCTTCTGCATTTGTGTTCACTGTTTCGTCGCCCAAATTCCAGTCACCGAGAATCAAGTTCTTGATTTCCACACTGGGGCTATGGGCACAGTGGGCCCCGGTCAAGGCATGGCGGGCATCTATAAGGACTGCCGAGCAAAGGAGCCTTCCCTCATCATCCTCAATTTTTGCAATCCACGGATGCTCATTCGGTTGGGTAATTAACTCTCCATTCTTTAACTGAGCCTCGTCCACTCTGCCGCATTCTTGCGTCTTCACACTAGCTGCATAGATGCCTGTTATTGGAAACAAAATGCTTTATTTTCAAAAAAATTATTAAAAGATTCTACTCACTTGAAAATAAACATGTCAAAGCCAGAACAACAATGTAAGACTGCATTGCAACTTGTTGCTTGAAAGACTAAAATAGCACTGACTCGGATTCAGTTGATCCGAGTTCTCTTATATAGTAAGCCTAGAGTGCTGCTCTCAAGCCGGCTAGCTAATCCAGTTAGTAGACAGTTGCCACCAAGTATTTTTACATTTTATTAGCTAATAATAAAAGCCGGGATTGAATGCATTATTCATGTTTAACAAAGATTACTTGCATTTAGAACAATAAAACTTTTATACCAATATTTGTGATATGAGTCTGTTATTGAAATGGTGACCGCAACTACTGCCCATTTAAAACGCATAAATAATATAAAAGGTGTATTTGAATTGGAGGAATTCGCGGAAATTATGAATAAAATATTTACAGGCCACAAAGTTGCATTTACCATATTTAATGGAAATGTTTCGAGGGCAAAAAACAACAGGCCTAATTGAGCATTTATTGAATTAATTAATTGCCTTTTATTGATTTTAATCTTTTTGGCTGTGGAGTCATTATTGAGGTTGGAAGTGGGTGTTCCGAAAGGAATAAGCTGTTGAAACATTTTGTAGTCGACCCGACTGGATTTGTAAGGCGAACAGATAGCAAAGGATGCCAATTGCTGGTGTTCAGCTTTAATCAGAGCCATCCTGGCATTGCCTGGCATGTCACTATTTTTAATGGTATTGATCAAATGTCAAAGTTTCTGTCCCTTGGAAAGAGGGCAGTGGGCCAGCATAGTCTGCTGGAACTACATAGTTTTCAGCTAACGAGCAGGCGCATGTTCGTCCAGCAGTAATAACAATGATGCCAGGATATTGATGTAGCAGAAGCAATGGGGAAAAAAAAACAATTGTCCTGCAGGTCCTGCCGCTGTCAAAAGGAGCAGCAAACGGCGAGCAAAAATGCAACTTGTAATTTGAACAAAAGCCAACCAGTTACAAATGCCGCCAACAGATGTAGCCACTAGCCATGTATTTGTGCGACTGTGAGTGCAATGGAATTATATGTGTCCTGATGTCCATTCTCCCTAAGCTGCCAGAGTCAACACGTGCACAGGATTACAAAGCGAAAAAAGTGCGAAAATAAAAAGTGCAAGTTCGAGATATTTTTCCACTGGAAACTATTTTATTAACAATCTATTACAGAATTAACTTTCATTCATTTTCTATAAGATATTACTTTTCGGCGGAAAGAGCTCTTTGAATCCAATCCAATTTGGATGGAATGTTTATGTGACCCTGGACGTATTTTCCCTGGGAAGTGGAATAAAAACCTCTCTCTAGAATACCAATCAGATGGAACTTTTTGGGACTTCCCGTGGCTTTCACAAGGGCCGATCCCGGGTATGGGATTCGAGCTGTGGTTCCGCAAATTAATTCCTCGGTTAAGCTTCTAATATGTTTGTTGCACTCCGAGCCGCTAATGGGCTCAAAGTTCATCTTGATCCTTTTTTTTTCTACAGGAGTTGATCCTGGCACACCATGTGGTGTCTCGTAGCCGGATAATATAAGATCTTCTTCAGATTTGTCGCCCCTAAGATCCTCCACCGAAGGTAGGCAAATGAGTTGAACTGAATCGGAGAGCACTACGTCGTTTTTTAGAGTGAGTAATGTCAGATCACTCTCGGGGTCCACTTGTATCTCGCTGACCGGCACCCTTTGCGGGGTTTCTACGCTAATGTAGCTCGAGTCCCGAATGCCGAAGCTGATGCTCACATTTGGATTTTCAGCAATGATACAATTACCTGGTACCAGAGCATGGCGGACATCGATCAAGATGGCAAGGCATTCGGCATTTCTATCAATCAGACCGATCCAAGAATGCTCGTTTGGTTCGGTGATGAGTTTGCCGTTCTTTAACTGAGACTCGTCCAGTCTGCCACAGTCAGAAGATGCCTGAATGCCTGTTATTTTAATTATTTTTCAAATTAAAATTGTAAATCAAAGAACATTATTGACTTACAAGAAATGAAAGAGAAGAAAACTGCTAATAGCGCTGGAAACCCACGATGCCACATCGTAAACGTTAATTTCAAAGCTTTAAGTAAAACTAAACGATTTTCAGTCTGTACAGATGATTTTATATTCTAGGAGTAGACCTGGTCAATCCAGTTATTAAGATGTTGTAGTGGGAAATTACTTAAATACTCTTTTATATAGTAAACAAATGGAAATTGTAACAAAAAAGAAAATTATTTAGCAATAACCTAAGATACATAGTATATATTTAAAACCCCCAAAGGGTGGTTCAATATCTTTTTCGTTCAATATCTTTTTTCTAGAAAATTTTCAATATATAGAGGTACAAAAATAAACAAGAGGTATACCATGTTAAATTTAAAAATAATCTGAATAGATCATCAGACTTAAATTGAAACTGTAGGTTTTTATACTCAACATGTTTTCTTTAGAAATCTTTTAAAACCATATAGTATATGCTGCCATTTTATGTCAATATCTCGGCCAATTATTTTCTCTTCCGAATACCTCAAACGATATCTATTTCGATGCGCCGAACTCGACTTTACGATCGTATGACAATGTCTATATTTCAGGCAATTCTTATCCGATTCTTCAGCGGAATATGTCAAACTATTTCTAGATCTAATCCCCATCAATCTGCATCAAATCAAAAAACCCGAAAAATTGTAAAATTTTCTGAACATTTTTCCATTTGAAAGAGGTCTCTTTGAAAGTCGTCAAAATTCATATTGATGTACAGACGATTTACGTGGTCCATATCTTGGCGTAATATTTACCGATATTTACGCGGAATACCCCAAAAAATTTTTATTTCAATGCCTCAAAAAGTCCTTTCAATCCCTCGAAAACTTAAAAAATATGTTTGAACATTTTTCATATACATATTAGGCGCCCTTGGAGTTCTTCAAATCTATTTATGGCAAAATGGCAAGTTAATATATCGGCAATTATTATCCGATTTTGGCTAAAATTGTTTCAATGCACTCTTTAAGAAATTTTTAAGAAAAGTTATCTCTATTTTATTTAAATATATTCAGTTTATAGATTATAAAATATATATTTTATTATATAATATAGTTTCCTCTATTTATACATTTCCCAGAAAATTCTTACCAAATTGTTTTTCCAAATTACAATTACTTAGGTGGAGTCGTTGGAACTCCTTCAACTCTGTGTTTTAATTTCAATCAAATCAACCTAAACGCACCCAGAACCAGAAACAAACCCACAGATAATTCCTGTTGGGTTGTTCAAATATCAACATGATTACTTTTGATTTTGCTTATTTGCCGAGGCCCAGTTCTATTTATCCGCCTCTAAATTTAACTTGCCACGCATCAGAGTTGCTATGGGAGCACATACTACACCCAGTACCCTAGTTTCGGGCGCGTGTGTTGCAAAATATCTGCTCCAGCTCTTGGGGGGGAAAGTTTAAAAGTTGTTCATGCCTAGCATTTGGAATTTGCTGCGAAATTATATTGTGGCTTGTTTGTTTCGCTCCTGCTTCGTATGCGTCACGTTGCGTATACGCACCGCGAGCCGCGCTGTGTGCCGTGCGCCCAGAGGCATGCCACTTCAGCACCCGGAGAATAGACTTGCAACAACAACCCAACACTCGAACAGACACATACGATGCTGAACTTAACTGGGCCCTGCAAATCCGGCAGCGTCTTCCGCGCACATTCTCGTAAATAAGTTTAAAAAGGAAAAATGTGAAAACGAAATAAACGTTGCCGGCGTTTATATATGTATGTATGTAGTGTATTATTGTGTTGTAGTATAGATATACTATGGTGTTGTACAAAAAGGATTGTTGTCGCTGTTGGCACGATAAATGGCCCAACAGTTCACATTATGTGTGAAAAATCTATAAAAAGTTATAAAAGTGTCATTAGCGCCAACAATGGGACTGCCGTTAGCATGGCGGGAGTCTTAGCGCGTCCTTACATCGCACTAAAGCCTTGTTATAATCCTTGTCCTGGCAACTTGTTGTTGCCAACTTTTTCCACCCTCCTTTTGCATTGGCAGTGACCCGATTTGTCCCACTCCAGGCCCACTTATAATTCGCAGCAATCTTAACTAACAAACAATATGGGAAAAGTAAAAGGTTTTCCATGTACCATTCAAAAATATCATATTTATCTGCCAGGTCCGGCCCCGACCATTGCGCCTTCTATGCCTATCATCTGTTGTTTATCGGACTTCTATTTGCCTTATTGGGCGGCCTTCTTGGCCCTGTTTGAATAATTTAATACCAGAATGGACAGGTCAGGTTTACCGAATCGGGCAGAAATTGATATTCCACAATATTAATTCGCATTCAGACAGTATTAAGAGGTAATTCTTGTATTAAATTTGTCAAGTATTATTAGATATCGTTTTGTGCAGACATTTTGTGCAATAATAAATTAATTAAGTGCATTAAAGCGTTAGAATATAAATGAAAATATACAAAATAATTGCTGAAAAGAGATTTACATGTTAGATGTCGGGTTAAAGTGTATACCTTTTTCTGAATTATTTCTTAATCTTGTCTAGGGTCTTCATTGCCAAAGTTTTGCCTGCCTCTGTAACAGACCTGTCACTCGAAGTCAGGGAAGTTTATTTACCACAGCTCCAGACCAGTCCTCCACTTATTGCTGGGCTTTGACAAATTTCAGCAAAGTGGATTAATTCGTTTTATTCCATGCCCGATGTTAGAGCCACACCGATGCCTCAAACTTTCGGCCAGAAGATGGGGAAAGTTGACTTGGCCTGGCTTTATTTTATCTGGCCAGAATTCGGCCGGAGGGCTTTAATTAGAAGGCCAGCAAGTGAAATCAACAGGTGACTCTGGCCAAACAATGGAAAGGCCGAGCCCTGCTCCTGGCCAGCTTACGCCTCCAAGTGTGTGGTGGCTGAGGAAGTTGGCTGGTCGGAAGCCTAGCGACTCCAACTTTGCTCGTAAATCTCCATTTCAAAAGTTCACGACCAATTCGAGATATAAACAACAAGATTTGGCGCATTATGCAAGTGGGAGCGTTTAGGCGGTCTATTGTCGTAACATTGGCGCTCCATTCCGTTTCGTTTCGATGCCACCACGTTTCCGGTGCACCGAGGACCTTAGTCCTTAGTCGATGTTGGGCCAGATGTACTCGGCAGTTGCCAAATGGCAACTGCGCATGAACCACGCCCACTCCTTGTCGCCGTGCCGCCGGGCTGGCTATGCCCACATTCTGGCATTTTGGCGTATTGTTGTAACCTTTGGGGTAACAGGTAACATTTAATGAGAGCCAGCCTCGGTTCGGTTGGAGTTTTAATTTTCACACAAAACAATGACCACAACAATGCAGCCCACGTGTCGTATACGTGATTTGTCATCTAGTGAGAGCGGGCTTTAAAATATTTAAGTTTTACATTTCTTTGGGAAATGCGGGGGAAAAACACGCATGTACATTAAACCCTCAAAAGTCGCTACTGACAACGAGAATCTGCCTTTATAATTCGCATTTTAATTCATTTTATTTGGCTTTTATTCTTAATCACAGTCTCGAACCCCTCGTTTTCGCTGACACTTTTTCGGGAATTTTCATTTAAGGCTGCATACTTTCTGGCCTTTGCCCTTATCCTTCTCCCCCAGGACATAGCGCTCAGGCTTTGCTTGGCATTAAAAGATACTGCGGCGACCTTCTTTGTTTTATTTATTTACATTTAACAGAGGACCTACCAAAAAAAAACGAATCCAACGTCAGATTTATTTTGCATTCAACCCGTCAAATGTCAAGTTGATGGAGTCTAATTAAATAACCGAAAGTGGCTTAAAGGTTGTTGCTGGCTAAAAAGCCAACAAGATCGGGTTGCCAGAAATAAATTAAATAAAATGTTAGCAACTTAATATTCGGCAAAGAACAGGGGTAATTCCAGTGAATTTTCTTTCAAATCTTATTGCTTCTACCATTTTTTGTCTAAAGTTTATGATCCTCATTTTGGCTGATTGATGGCGAATCCTTTTTGGCCATTTCACAAGGGTGTTTCCTAATCTCAGTCGAACCATTAGCTCTAGGCCCTGGCAGCATTTGGCTAATTGCTAGGGCCAGAAACTTCTGCGACGGACTGTATGCGAAACAGCAACCGCAATGGCCGTCTATATACCTAGATACATACATCCTGTACGTATATATCCTGCCATGGTAACCGTCGCAGAAATCGCAGCTAGACTGCAAATTGGCGGAGGAGGGGGCTCTGATGCGGTTGCCATAATGCCCGTAATTTGTTTGTTAATGCTCAGCGTATTATGTCAGCAAATTAAATTATGTACGCTGCCAGGGCAGACCAAAGGACTGACAATGCCATCTGCTAGTCTACAGTTGCCATTCGCCAGCTGGCAGTTCCCAAATGAAAATTTAAATTTAAATTTTTTAAATCTTTAAAGCGGCCAACTACCACTTGACTGCCACGACACTTAACCTGCCGAGGTCCTTGAGCCGAGGACTTTAATTAAATGCAAAGGAATTTCGGAGGCGATTGGCTGGCAGCAGGTTCCATGACAGTTAATCCATGAGCTGGTATTCCCCTGTTTCAGATGCGAGTGATGTGATAGGAAGTGATTCTTCCATGGAATCTGGCGTCCTGTTCTAGGAAGTAAGGACAAGGTATAAAGAGAAAGTCCACAGCAGTCTATCAAAGCCAAGGAGTCGTGGTTGAAATTTAAATTCCTATCGACTAAAGCATAGTCATTGTTTGCCTCAAGATCTCATAAAAATGTAAAACTCCTGTTAGTAATACACACATATTTTAAGGATTTCTCCACCTTTGCATTTTTATATTTAAAAGCAAAAAAGGTCCTGTCAAGTATTTGAAGAGCTCTTCTATTTTTCCTAATCGGCCCTACCTTTACTATTTATTTTCATTCTCACACTGTTAACCACAACATACTCCAATTACTTTGACAATTCACCGACTGAGTGCAGAGAAGGATGAGCGAAATTCCCTTGTCGTTCCTGGTCCTGCCTGCACTGCCAGGACACGCCCGGATAATTTCATTGTGAAGTTTAAG